TAAGTGCAAAAAGTATTTTGTTTCGAATCGCTTTTTCTATTTGAGTTATGTAGCCCCTTAGATATAAGCCCCTCCTTTTTCCAAAAAAAAAAAAAACCTTAAAGCCCCTTACCCTTTTGAGGTTTGCTTTTGTGTCCTGAACTTCATGGTGATTGGTCACTACACAATCAACACTCCTGAAAATTTTCAGGCGTTCACGATTTTCTCAGTTTGACGGAAAAATAATTGACAAATCCGTCTTTTAGGTCCTGATGATGGTATTTAGTTAGGAGAAGATAACTGAAATCTTCAGGAGGATAAACCTCTAATAGATAAAGGTCCCCATTTGCAAAACATTGAATGGCCACCATAAACACCAAATGACCCTCAAGTTTTATGATTAGCCAATAGGGTTAGGAAACTGAGCGAATAAAGTTTCACTTAGGTTTGATGTACAGAAAGAACTGAACTGAACTTGACTCACTCAGTTTTCTTGTCGATGGAAGTGAAAGAGACATATATATATATATATATATTTATGAATATTGGAAGTAGGAAAAAAGTACACTTTCATCCCAATATTTATATCACGCTCTACTTTAACGTATCGAGCACTCTACTACGGAAAAATCGAAACACAGACTTCCGAGGGGGGGGGGGGGGGGGTGGTCTTATAATCGGAAGTTTATGGTATGCTGTCTCCGTGTCTTAAATGTGCGAAATTATGTAGGATGTTGTCATGGAATGACAATGACATGGAAATATTGTTTTAGATATTAAAACTCGTATTTCACTTGAGGCTGAATTCCAATCCTTTCACTTTCAGGTCATTTCACCTGATTTAGGAATGTTCACACTATAAAGGATAGCTTTTGCACCCGCACGAAAACCATACCAGGCTTCTGTTCACACATAAGAACGGTGATTTTGGCGCGATTTCTGTAACGGAGCGTAACTGCGCCGCACCGATCTCGGAAGTGGAGCCACACATATCTGATAGGTTTTGTGCCACAGTCTGGCGTGGTGTGAGAAGGTATTTGGTCCGTAGCGGAAGTGAATAACTCGTAAAGAGGAATAGAACCCACTGAGACGGAACTGAATACATTATTGGTACCTAATTTCTCGGGTACTTAAATTTGGCGAGGATCAATATTCGAGGGTCTTTGATTTCACGATCTTTGTACAATCGCGAAAATCGCAAAATTTTACCAATAGAGCGTTTTCACCCACGTGGCCTGTGTCTATGCAAATTTATTGGAACAGAAGAAACTGTTTGCTTAAGAAAAGAGTTCAACTCCCAAGGGATTGGTTTGGGACACCAACATGGCCACCGTTTCATTGATTTGGGACCTCAATATGGCCGCCGTGACGTCATGTGAAAACACTGTATAAGGTATTCAGGAGTGAAGATTGTGATTTAGACAACGAGAACGGCCAACCGCTCTGTTACGATGTTCGATGTGTGTGAAGGACTTGTTCCAGTTCTGTGCCGTTGCTGTTCAAGCTATAGTTGATAGCTTTTTGTGCCGGCACGAACAGCTCTCCTATGGGCATATTTGCCAGCTGGATATTCCTGATTTTTCGAAGATTGGTGTTACTATGAAACGTATTGCTTGACCAGGAAATAACGCTCGCGTGCATTTATTTTCATTCACGAGACCAGGCAAATGCACTATTTTTACGGCCTAATCACGCCACTTAGGAGACAAACAAAAAGTTCCAATCACTTCTTGAAGGGGTCAGCGGTTGTCATGCGGTTATGACGATATTCTCCCTTTTTATAGGTTGTGTGTCACAACCTTATAAAAGGTAATTTAAATATTGTCTCTACTTAGCTCGTTTAGCTTTCATTTGCTATTCTGAGTAGCTTTTTTGCCTTATCTATTTTAATGTATGCTATTCTTTATAAACGTTTTTTAATTTGGCAAAATAAAAAATGGTTGGTTGGTTGTTGTTGTAGTAACGGTAGGTGTTGGAAACTTCCGAGTAGGTGAACATCAAGTCCTCTGAACTCTACAAGCCTATCAGTTTGGCCTTAGCTCCGTTTGCAGTGAGATTTCTATTCTATCGCTTGAAAATTCCTTTCTAGAACTGTAATAGCAACTTACGTACTTTGTTAAGGAAAATTGACTTGAAATCAATAGCATAGCTGTTTGTATTAAGAGGTGTACGTGTCAGTATGTTTTTAAGATAACAAACATCAACTTCCCTTTAATCACGTTTAAGCGGGAGAATGCGGAATCATGTACTCGAATGTCTTCCTTTTTTTCCAAGTCTGATAATTTTTAAGTGTCTTAATTTTGGCAACTGCAGAGCTTCCACGTATCGTTGTGTTGATTGAGGCTATTATTACTAATATATTCTATGCACTAGGACCTCGAAATTACGTGACCTGTATTTTCAGGACAGAAAATGTCCTTATTAGCAAGATTAGCAACACAATCTGTGATACCTAGTGTACCTGTTTACGATCATCTTTATTCAATGTCGCATGAATAGTTGTTTATTTCCAGAAAGTGGTCAGCCAACGGATACTGAATAAAAGGTTGCTTGAAGTTTATCCCCATGGACTATTGTAGTAAGTAGTTCTATAACCCCAGCCAATCATTTTTCAGAATGGCGACATCGCCAGCGGATTAAACGCTGAAACGCTCACATGGTCCGACGACCCTTTAACCCCGTTGCAGAGATAGGTGCTAAATAACTGCTGTAAGTCTTCCTCATTCCAAAACCGAGAAGGTTTAAATAGAGATGCCTAGTGTCCATATACGTATTTGCAACAGAGGAGAGGTAATATCAATACACAGCCGTAAAGAATTAAGGCAATGATGACGAAGCCACTCTTTGCTTTCCTTGCCGCTCAGGTGCTTTTTTTGCAGCTATATTTGACCAGTGGTAAGTTACTAATGACCATCGAATATTGTCCTGGTAAATTACCAATTTCTGGTAATTTTCATCAAACAAGAATGGTTCTTGGCAAATTTTGTTAAGGGGGTTGAAAATCGACTGCAATCTGAACAATACAAATTTGGTGCAGACTGTACGTTTCATCGTTTTCTCGAGTACCCCAATAATATTTGTTTATCTACGAACTAAGATAATTTTTCATGCGCATCCTAGGAGGTACAAAGGCAGCAACTAGTGGCGCGGGATATTTATGGGTGAAACCCTCCAAGCAAACTGGGAACTGGGAGGCTTCCCTTCCCTACTTCTTGAAAGGCTTCTCGGCAATAATTTTACCTGTTTCGCGTCAAAATGTGCTTCCTCTCGGTCTCTGAATACGTGCGTTAACGAAAACCTTACTCAGGATTACTTGTCTTGGATAAGCAAAAATATGAAGCTGACAAAATACTCTCCAGGGCCCACCCAATAAGGAATTTATCGACGACGATCTCAAACTTAAAGCACGTTCTAAGAGACGTGAGGCCCGAGCTCAACCTTTGCTTTCAAGGAAGTAAACCACTTATGGGATGTAATTGATCCAGATGGATTAGACCTGTTGCGCGTCCAAATGTGCTTCCTTTGGGCCTCTGAAGACGTGCGTCAACAAAAACCTTATGCAAGATTACTCGTCTTGGATAAGCAAAAATATAAAGCTGACAAAATACTCTCCGAGGCCCACCCAAAAATGAATTTATAGACGACGATCTCAGGCTTAAAGCACGTTCTAAGAGACGTGAGGCCCGAGCTCAACCTTCGCTTTCAAGGAAGTAAACCACTTATGGGGTGTAATTAATCCAGATGGATTAGTCCTCCTATAGATTCAAAAATGGTAAATTGATCTGCCTGACATAGCAAAATAATTTCAAATAAGAGGATCGCATCATTTTAGAGTGATATGAGAAAGATAGCAAAATGGGAAAAGGTAACCAAATATTCAGAAAAAATACATATATTGTCCAGAAATAGATATTGTTGCATTCAGAATTTATTTGAGTTCTTTTGCTTATTTATTAAGGTTTTCAACTTTCGTTAGTGACTGAAATGTAAAGGGTTTTATTGAAACTGTTGGTTAGATCAACAAGTACATACTTGACCAAAATTTAACGATTAACATTTATCAATTTATTGTTATTATTATTATTATTATTATCATTATTATTATTGGGCGATTCCCTCCAGTACCCTGGTGTTTTTCTTGGTCTTCTCATTTCTCAGCTGCATCCAACAGGTTAGAGGCACACCACATTCCGCAAAATGTAAGCAGTACAAATTGATGGCTGATAACTGAGTACTTCAAAAAATGTCGGGCAAACATACCATACCAGGCCTTTGCATTGCTTTGCTTTGCATTACTTTGCCTTCTTTTCCCATCTTTAACAAACCATTTCTGAGACATCCACAGGACTCCTCTCCAGCCAAACCTGACGTTTTGGTAGCAAATGCTCCATGTGGACCTTCCCGTTCCTGACTTTCTCCTCTTCCCTTCTTTTCTGGTAGTCCTGAAGATTCTCTTCTTCAACAAACACCTTCTCCTTCAAAGTCATGCAGCATCCACTCGTGTTATCTCTCAGGTAGCCATGCAACAATTTTTCCTCCTTCTAACACTCCTTAATACCAATCAACTCTCACCCCTTCTTTTCTCGGTAGATATAGTCTGGCAACATTACTTTTTGTGTGTAAATAGCCATTTACCGCCAATATCGTCCTAATTTTTCTATCCATACTGACCATCTCTTCCAACATGCAATCCACGATACCTACACTGTAGCTTACTAAACCTACAGCTTAGGCATTGATGCACTAATAAGCTTTCCGCCATTCAATTTGGATCTACACAACCGTCTTAATTTCTCTTCCGATGTATTCCGCTGTTACCTTGCTTTTCATCTAATCTAATTGTAAAATGCCAAGATATACGTAACCGCCTATACCCCCTTCCGCACCATATGGCAGGTCTGTCATGATCGTCATCATCATCATCATCATCACCATCATCATCATCATTATCATCATCATTATCATCGTTATCGTTATTGTTATTGTCATTGTTATCGTTATCGTGTATATCATTATCATAGTTCTTTTTTATTTTTATTTTTTACATTCAAGGGGCTGTCTTTCAAGCTGGGAAGGTAAATATTACCGACACTTCCCAAAACAACCATGGTTGCCAAGCCGTTTCTTTCGAAACTCGATTCCAGGGTTCGGGAGATGTAAAGGTGTTCGCCACGCTCAGTCACGGAAACAAATATATTAAAATCCACGACCCAGCGTCTCTTTGGGTGAAGTCGGTGTCAACAACAGGTTTTGAAGCCTGCGTGCGCGAAGCAGGTAGTGGCTCTGGTGGAACGTCTGTGATCAACTGGCTTGCATTTCAAGGTTCGCATCAAGGCATACACTCAGGGATCGTGGAATTCAATGAATTCACGTCACGAACACAGTGCAAGAAGATATCGCTAAGCATTCAGAAACAGGTAACTTCGCAACGTCATCCAATTCATTCATTTAGTCTTCCATGTTAGTTTTAAAGTCAATACTCACGAAAAACTCATAACTCAACTTCGACCTTAAGGGAAAAAAATAACGAAAACGCGCGTGACTTCGCATCAGTAAAATTAAAAAAAAAATGGCCTTGTTTTGTAAATTGTTTAAATACTATGCCTGCAAAAATCACCAAAAAATGTAATGGTTATAGTGCTCCATGATGAAAGTTGTTTGATATCTTCTTCATGGCTCTGCAGGAACATTTAATGCATGGATAAATGGACACAGTGATTACTTCAGCACAGAATTGCGAAGTGGCCTAAAGCAGCAATATCATCGTGGCATTTCCCCTTTAACAAGAAAAGGGCTTAGCACCATATGAATCGTCCGTTTTTTTTCCTATGTTTTGTTTGCTGTTCAAGAATCTCCTCCTAATACTCTGGCAAATCGCCGCATGCAAAACCGAGTAACTGTTCAAAGCCGAAATGAAGTCGATACTTGATTATTTTCCCAATCAACAATTGTTGTGAAGCTATAATGGCCATGAGATTGTCATAACGTCAGTCCATAACGTTAAGCAGTGTTAATCCGGTCCTCTTCGGGGCAAAGGACGATTATCATATTTAAGCTCAGTATGTACATATGTACTTATTGGGTGATTTTTTCTCTTCTTTTAGATAAAACCTCAAGTGTTTGTAACCGTTCAACATAAACATTCTAACCGTCCTTTTGATTCCATGAACGTCTGGCTAGAAGAGGTCGAAGCAGACGGCTTCGTTGTTTGCTTGAGAGAGTTTATGAGTTTCGACGGTATCCATACCGGACTTAAAGTGGTGAGTTTTAAAAAATTAGCCCAGTCTTCGACTATTACGTTTTTATTCGTCCTTACTTGTTATCAATTAAATTTAAAGTTAAATCTGATTGTATGGAAGTTAATTAAAAACCTGGTGGTTAAATTGGCCTCCCCTTATATATTACGTAAAAATTATATTAGAAGAATTATTGTTATACCTAACCCATAAATGTTTTAAAACCGTAAAACTCTGAATTTGCTTTGCAAAGACAGCCTGACGAAAGGGGTGGAGGGGTGGACTGGAAGTGAAAAAGGGGGGAGGGGGGCGCTGATCAGGGAGCGGGGTTCTTTCAAAGAACGGCTTTTCAGCCTTAACAAAATATCGCCCCTGCTGCGCATGTGCAGCAGGCGTTTTGAAAAGAAAGAAAGTTTTCTTGTAGTCGCGCATATAAACTACCCTCGTCATTTCCCTAATACATTCTGAGATGAAACTTTAGGGTTCACTTTAGGGTTCACTTCAGCCCGGTGACGTTGGCTTTGAGGCCTCCTAACACTTTAATGTTGAATAAAATTAAAACCGTTCAAGCTAGGACCATCAAACTTGGCGACTCTTGCTGATTTTTTCTAGATTTACTATTAGTGAATTATTATATCACACTTAATTTAGCATTATTTACGTAGCTGTTAATATGATCTAGGCTTTTAGTGACTAGTTTGGAAACATTAATTGAATTTAAAATGGCCAACTAGCAGGAATAAATGGAATTAATTTAAATAATTCAAAATGGCAGATCCAAAAAGGCATATGGTCTCAATAAGAAATGACGTCATCATGTTGTCACTTCCATTGTTAAAGATGATCAAGTTGTCAACCATCATCATGATTTTTAAGTAATTTAATTATTTTTGCTTAATGCCTACAGAAACAATTGATAAGCTATGGGTTAAGACAATAAATGCAACAAGGCGACATTAGTTACGTCAAATTACGTTATTGTGTCAATCACATTACTCGTACTTGTTGGAATAATGATTACACTATTTTGTGTAAATTTAGTGGCTGTATCATGAGTGGTTATAAACTTCTCTGAGGGGCCTTCCCTCTCCAATTCCCAGGGAGCCCAAAAACGCCCGATCCGAATAGTGTTAAATATAGGTCATGGTATTTTGCTTCTTTCTTAGACTGCAGATACGAATTTTTCTGAGGGTTCCCACCGTCAGGTTAAGTTTTCTTAAAAACCCAGAAGGAAAGACGTTTAATGCTGTGACTGTTACTTGCGTCCACCTTTTCAGAACTGGCTTGCTTATGATTTGCTACCTGAGGCTTGGAATTTTACTGAGCAAGGAAGGCTTCATTTTTCTGGACTTGGTGCACCAAAGAAAGAGAGCAATTATGCCTTTTGTCAGGTTGGAAATATGACGTTTATTAATGATACATTCAATTTTTTATTGACTTAACCCTCGGACGTACAAGGGGGGGATGGATACCACCCACCCATATGGTTTTTCTGAGTTTTTTCCCAGAGGATAAAATGTCAGTACCAGACGTTTTCAGTTCGTTAATCCCTCGCGCACATTTTGAGACAAGTTTAGTGATGGTGAGTTGCTATGGTTACGATATATGACGTCAGAAGTAGCGGGTGGTCAAGCCAATTTTGGGTGAAAATACATGTTTTTTCAACTTCTTTCAACAATAAAAGTAAATACTGTGGGTAAAATCATACAAAGTGCTTGTTTGTGTTATTTGTCATTTAAAGCACAAAAAATTACCATTTCTCGCAGTTTTAACCAGATTTCTAATTCTTGGTAAACTCCAAGATGGCGACCATTGTTGGTGACGTCACAGGCCTTCAGCAGCGCCTCCAGCCCTTAAATATACCTCATCTTGTTAAGAAGATCAAAGGCTTTCCACTAAAGATAAAATGGTTTCAAAATACTGAAACATATCAAAAACACCGGGGAGGGGTTCCATCCACCCCCCCCCCCCCCCCCCTTGTACCTGAATTTGCATGTACGTCCGAGGGTTAACTTACAAACTCAAGCCTTTAAACCAACGTGGTTAACAATCAACGTTTGTGTTTTGTATTTCTCATTTCTTTGACACCGTAGCATCGGCGTATTGTGCATTTTTGAAATAAGAATTTAAGTCCAACAAGAGATAAGACCTTCAATGCGTTGTTCACAAGAGTTGTATTTTAGATTTGTTGAATGCGACGTGTTGAGGAGGTGCATCCACTATTAGATATATTTTATAGACCTAGAGTTTGCCTAATCATTTTCTTAATGAAGTGGGACAATATCACTTTCTTCAAAAGGATCAAAGAGACAATATTTCTTTAAACAGTCAGGGAAAATTATTGTGTTTGGTAAATCATGATTTATAGGATTATAAGTTTGAGAATCCATTCTACGAGCCGCCCAATATTCTGGCATCTGTCGGCCATGAAAATGTCACCAGGGAACTGTCAATGAAGGCAGATGGTCGCTATAGCAACGCTTTGACTGTCTGGATTGAGGTGAGTAGCTTTGAAGACACATAATAAATTGAAACTGTTTCAAAGATTTGCTAATTAAAATAGCTACCTTCGCTAAAGAGTAAAGCACTTATAACTAAAGAAGAAGTTCGAAGTGGCACTTAACGCTTTACGGCAAATTCAAGCAATAACTTGAATCATCAAGCTGATTGTCATTTCCCGTACTCATTTTCACCTGATGATTCTTTTTAACGGAGGCTCTATGGGTTCATGGTTTAAAAACGGTCACATCTGTAGATTGTAATTGGTTGATTACGATCCATTCTTTTTTTATTATTATTATTTATTTCCGTGGTGATTATGACTGAAAACTAACTTTCTCGGAATGTATTGTTCTTTTCATGTAATCCGATTGGTCAACTTTGTCTAGATGGCCTCGGTTATAGTAGTCACACTGCAACAGACAGCAGCGTCCATTATATAACCGTGAGAACTGTACGTCCGTTTAAACGATTCAAAGTTGCTCTTGTTCTTATTGCCTAACCGGACGCCCCTGTCTAAAAGCTAACAGGTCAATACAAGCTTTTTATTTATTGGTATATTTGATGTTGTATTCCAGGAGATCACTCGTTTGTCTTTCAAAGTGTGCATCAAAGACAGTCAGGGAATGAGAAAGTCTCACGATCCAGTTACAGTGGACTATGCTATAGTGGGAGGTACATTACTCTTATATTTGCTTATTCTTTAAATTCAAAGATTTGTCTCTCATATTGGTTCGCCCTACTGTCAAGGAATTTGGCCGTTGGGTCAAACGTCGAATTGAAGAAATGAATTCCAATAAGAATAAAAAACTATGATCAAATGTCGAAGAAAGAAGTTATAAAAAAATGACGTTTAAATAAGGACAGCATCGTATTGATCGCTTTTTCAAACGCTTTAATAACTTGTAGAAAAAGTAACTCCCCATTTCCTATCTTTTTTGCCATCAATTTTCTTCACAGGAAAAACAAAGCAAAATTTAAAAAAATTAAAAAGCAGTTGCGCTCTCAAAGGATGTAGGACGTCAGGTCAATTTGCTATTCATACAAGTGCTGATTTTCTTGTTGTTTTTTTACCCTAAAGATATAGACCCGTGCACAAACGTTACTTGCGATTACCATGCCATCTGCAAAGCTTTCTCTGCATTTGATGCGCGTTGTGTTTGTGATGACAACTGCCCATCGTACGAGGAGCCAGTGTGTTCATCCAACTCGACAACATTTAAGAACAAGTGCTTTTGTCTGCTGGACATTTGCAGGCGCAAGAGTAACCACACTCTCTATCATCCCGGTAGCTGTACAGGTAAGAGAGCGGATTATAAGGTTTTTTTAAAACCACCTTAACCAGCGTATGCAGAGCTCTAGTGTTATGCGATATGGTCCGGCTGATTACTTATAACATCACTCAATTTGGCGGCCATCTTGGGCGCCATCTTGGAATTCCGTTTTAAGCACATGGCATTTTCCGTGCATCTGTAGGTCCAAAATTGATCATGATTAAATACTATTTTGCTTATTTTGGTACTGTTTTGAATGCAATAAAGTGCCAATTATATAGTGCCACTATATGATTGTCTGATTGTACAATCAGCTTTTAATTTACTTCCTCGCATATAGAAAGGATTTTATACCTTTTTTTTTCTCATCCTCATCAGGTATTTGTAGGATGCATCTTTTTTTGTCTTTATGTTAACTTTATGGCTGTTGTTGTTTTTTTGTTTGTTTTTTATCGCTTTCAGCTCTAATTAGCTTTGTTTTTCTTCCAAGTTGTATCTTCTTTTTCTTGTTGTTCCTCGACAGGTTTTCCTGTTCAGACTGGGCGAGTTTCACTGAGGAGACATGTACAGTGGGCAGAGACGGCCTGTGAAGTAGTGAAATTTCCACCGTTTTCATTCTATCCGGACAAAGAAGTGCACGTACAAATAACGACCAATCACTGGAACATAAGCGAGAAAAATTTTGTACATGATGCTACTGTGTCCTGGGTGGAAACTGTTAACTTCGAGAATTTTGAGGTGAATATTTTAAAAGGAAGTGTTCAATTCAAGTATTACTTCAAGTAGTAATTAGTGAGCTTTTGTTCATTTGTCTTACATCTCCAAGAACTCTTGTTTAGCTGTCATATTTCTGGCCAGTAAAATACTATTTAAACATATTTTATTTTCACAACGAGTTACTAGCGGAGTTTTCGCGTGTTGCGCGCGCAGAGGAACACTATGGGTAGAAAATTTGGTTACCTATGCATCCAAGAAATTTTGGTTGCTAACAAAATCGTGCGTACGGACGTAGGACCGCGTCTTCATGTTAACGGATGTGAAATGTCTTACTAGCTGTAAGTCTAAAACATATGCAAATTGTGTTTAACTCGATTTTGGACATCCATGTTATAATCAATTGACAGCTGTCAAAGTAGGGCATCCGCAGACCAGAGTCACATGACTTTATCGCGGGCTCAGGTGTGCAACTTATTGAGATGACGGGTTTTTTAAAGTTCTCCGCTGACCAGTAACAGAATTCAAGAGTTCGCAGGCTTAGAAAACTTTACTACAGGAAGTAAGTTACCACGAGAGTTTCGCTTTTGGCCTTGGCTAAATCTATATATTATCTTACCATATAAAATAAACATTAGCCATTACATTTTATCTTTAGGTGTGCGTGACTGCAGCAGGAAGAAATGATCGCTTTATCAAAGAATTTGCCACGGTGGACTGGATGGCCTACCAAGGTGCTCCTGATGGAGGTGTGGCGGGTAAAATGCGCATTCCAGAATGGTGGACTGGATCACAGTGCTCAAAAGTCAGCCTTCCTCAGGCAATAACACTTTATTGTTACCTCTCAGCTGCATCTTGTTTCGTTGCATAAACCATAAAAAATAATGACCTTTAATTAAGTTTTCAATAAGGTGAACATTTGCTATGCTGATGTCATAAGTACTAAACCCTCCAGTTGTTATCCAATCAAAGATATTGTACTTGGACTTGGAGACATGAGCTGCAAAGAGGCAGCCCAGTTCTGTCCGCGAAATTCTTTCTGACACATAGGGCATTTTTAAACGTTTTTCAATTCTTACACTATTTGTCAGAGGGGGGAGATATTCTTAAAAAAAGCATTATTTGATACAAAAAAATATAGGAGAAAGAAACTTGTACGGTCTAGGGCTAAATTTGACAGTCGCGTTCAGACACCTGACCACGATCCAATGTCCTATGAGCGTCCCGATCATGTGAAATGTCATTTATTCCAAATTTTACATGCTATTCTTCCAATCAGCTTTGCTGTGTATACTTAATGATTACCAATTCAACTTTCTTACCGTTATGAACGGTTTTTTTTAACAGGGAAAATTTGCGTCTACACCAACGGTCCTGGTTACAGCAGAACATATAAGTGCAGACTTTAAGCATGATGCCGCAAGTTTGTGGGTGGAAAACGCAACCAGTTCCTCCTTTTACATTTGTCTTCGAGAACTACAGAATTATGATGGTGTACATGAAGATATCTTTGTGGTATATGTTTTCTCCTTCATAAATATATCTGTCTGGCGTTTGCTAAATCTTGGCTAAAGAAATTTCGAGTGCATTTTAACAATTTGATATCTAAGTCAAATGGAAAGTAGTTACAAAATACCAGCTGACAACTTTATTGCTGGCAACAGACGGTGAATTTCTCTCCCAGAAGAAACAGGATTTTGGGATAAAATAAACAACATCTGAAACGTCCAGAAATTATAACCTTTTAGTCAGCCAAACCATGAGGCCCCATAGGCAAGTGTCTGCCGAAAACAGATTAAGAAGCCACAATATTTGAGCACAGAATAGGCTTTCTAAGACAATCACCTAAACTAAATACTTGTGAAGCGTTTCTTTTTATGCTTGATACCGTAACCTGGTAACACGAGCTTAAGCACATACCTCAATTTTGTTTGTCAACGCTTTCGGTAAATCACACAATATTAATTTCGTGGCAATCACAGAACTTCCAAAAAACCACTCGTAATATTTCCACATTTAACACGGGCGAAATTATTCGTCAAATTACTCGGAAAAACTGTCGCATTCTGCACATAAATCGTCGATTGAAACTTTTCTCGAGTCACACAGTCGATTTATTCAAGATCCTGGATGTAAACCAGCTGTTGAAAAGGAGACATGGAGCCCCCGCCTTCCAAACAATTTTTTGACGAAGACGTCTTTGGCCTGGTCAGAGATCAGCATCAATTTCCATCTCGCCGGATAAATTTCACCCCTAGAACCTACTTTGTGGGGCCAAAGACTTTTTGCTGCCAACAACAAAGCTCGCAATATCCAATCTTTCCTTCTCAAACCCGGGATCAGTATTTCATCTGTGCAGCTAAATGAGACGAAATACGAGACGACGTAGCAGTCTTAATCGTGAGACTTGTTCCTTCGTAAGGTTTCATGATGCCTTCCGGAAATCTTTGCTTAAGGCAGAGAGCCGTGTTCAGTCTAAAACGCGCGCTGATTTCAAACTGGCATACAGTGAGAACTATATAGGAAGTTATGAAAGGCCTTTTTGTAGGGGGGGGGTTGTAGGTTAATAGCCATTGAGAAACTCATGACAGTCTATCTAATGCAGCGCATTATTCAGCCAACAAATTCAACAATATGACGTTGTAATGACGTCAAATAACGTCATTGTGACAATCAAATTATGCCTAGACGTTGGAAAATATTTTATTCTGTGTAATTTTGGTGGCCGTATCATTAGAGGTTTTAAAGTTATAGAGGGGAGCCTCGAAAGCCAACCCACCCCGCTCGCAGGGAGCAAAAATAAAAAAACGGTCTGAATAGGGTCAATCATAATATACGTGAAATGAGCTCTCGCCAGCATTGTGGATACAAGTTACAAATCGTTTTTCGGACACATGGCTCGATTATTTCTACACGGGATTTAGGTATGAGATAGCAATCCATTTTTGATTTATTTAATCCATTTCTTTTTAGAGTTGGATGGCCTTTGAAACAATCCACAGGCCCCTTTTCGCTGAGAGCAAACACGTGGATTTTCCAAACAACAATTCCGTTTCTACAAGTTACAATGGTGCATTTTGCAAGGTAAGACGCAACTTTACATTTAAGCAGAAGAAAGCTCTTTATCTTTTTAGATGGAACAGTAGACTTGCTACAAGTCCACCTCTCGGCGAGGCCGCGAAGCGGCCTACCGAGCGACAAAGTCGCGAGAGGTCGACCTTCATCCCGCGCCATATTAAATCTGACGAAGGACTTTTTTGAAAGTCTAATGGAACAGCACAGAAAAGCGGCTATCAAATAAGTACATTTAGGCATTTTAAATCATCTTTACAGCTGTAAAACTCCAGATTTTATCCCAACTTAATAAATAGGAGTAAAAACGAAGATTTATCTCACATCTATGAGTTGCCATATCATGTCATCATGATCTTTCAAAAGAAAAGAGATGAAAGGAACTTGTTTTATGAACGTTCATCACCTACAATATGACTATGCGTTGATCAGGAATGGATGGTGTTTCAAAGTTTATATCAACAGCCTTCTTTTTATGTCCTTAGGACGTCCCTTTTGCAAAGAATTACGACAACGAACCCATAGTATTAATAGCAGCCGGTCACAACTCAGAAGGCAACAATTTGAAGCCAATATACATGTCCGTGACCCCATGGATTGAGGTATTCTCCAATTATTTAACTAATATACAACACAATTTCTTCAAAATAAGTAAGATCAAGCTGACAGAGTTGATAGGGAATGCGCAAATGAGCTACCAAGGTCTGTTCGTGCAATCTGTTTATCAGTTACAGTCGCGCAGCGAAACATTCCGTCTATTTGTCTATCAGTTATTCAAGGTCAGTTTCCCACGTTCTTTTTTTGTTTAGATAGGAAAATTACTCAGTTACAGGCTATAAAGCGAAAGTCTCTTTAAGTTGAGCTATTACTGTTCCTCAAGAGCCATTGCTGTTCCTCTAAGATAAATATGATACGATGATATGCTTATTTTACAGCATATCAAGACCAGCGAATTTCGCATTTGTCTCAAGGAGTTGTTCGCTGACCAGCATGATCCCGTGACTGTCTCCTATGCAGTATTAGCAGGTGTGTTAGTGAATGATAAAAGCAAATTTAATTTCTTTGCGAAGACCTTCTCATGCCCAGCAATTGTTAGATGTCAAGTAAACTGAGAGACTCCTTTTTCCATATCTCCTTTAAGTAATCATCAGTAAATGTATTTTCCTAGTTCCTACTTACTACAAGTAACGGTTTCTATTTCCCAAAACTTCTAGATCAGCTTAGGGCTAAGCCAAACGTCAAACGTTTCATAGAACGAGCCATACTCTAATTTGGGTCGACCTTACTTAAGTTAAGATCCGGTCTAGATATGCTGGGTCAGACGTCGATCTTATAATTATATAGGACGCATCGAGCTAATCATCTGAATCAGATCAGTAATAAAACTATTTTTTCCCGAACGATTTTTATACACATTATGGAACAATTTTTCTAATTTGTTAGTTTAGTTTATGGCATGTGAAGATCGAAGTTTTTCCCGAAGACGATCTTCGGACGCTCTGTCCGTCTGAACGTGTTGGACGATTCATTCAGACGAACTTAACCGAGCCAGACGTCGCTAAGAACGTTTCAGAAACTTAACTCACTTAGCTAGGTTCGTCTCATGAAAAGTTCGACGTCTGGCCTATAGGCCTTATTTTCTCTTTATTTCGCACTATTTACTTCACACAATTTTTCTTGTATATTGCAGATGTATGTAAACCGGGCTGGTCATATTTTAATGGTATTTGCTACTCGACAAGCCATTCATGCAAAAATTGGACCGAAGCAGAGAAAATCTGCCAGGCGTACAGCGCCAACCTCATCACCGTACGGAATCAAGAAGAAAACGTTTATATTCAGCATCGGCTGAATGGTGCTAAGGGCTGGATTGGTTTAAACGATAGGGTCACAGAGGGCAATTTCACCTGGGCAGATAATCAAACCAATAATTTCACATACTGGGCGAAAAACCAACCAAACAACTTCAACAACGAAGATTGTGTTCACACATTAGGAGTCAGACATAAATTTATGTGGAATGATGTGAGGTGTGATACTTGCCATAACTATACCTGCTCAGAAGGTTTGTGGGTGACTTACCTCTTTTCTATAATAATAGACGATGTTCATCACTATCATCATCGTTATCGTCATGATCATCATAATCATCATCATTACCATTATCATTAGTTCCCATTCAAAAGCCATTTGCGAGTTGCCCCAAGCCGATTTTTCAAATCGAAGTCAACTTCAAAGTTTTTGTTCACATGTGGAAATTGTTCTCTATTCTCATTCAAATAAACTCCTTCCTCTTGCAATGTTTCGCACTTAAACTCATTTTCTATGCATCATCATCATCATCACCATCATCATCAGCAGCAGCAGCAGCAGCATTATTATTGTTAGATGTCATTCAAAAAGCCATTTACAAGTTTTTCTCATTAAATTTTTTCTCTCATTTTCTCGTGCCAACGAAACTCCGTCGTCATGAAAGGTTTAGCAGTTGAACTCATTTTGCATGTGAGCGATTCTAGGAAATTAAAAATGGTCTTTAACTTAACGCCGCCATGTGTTAAGTATCATTGATACATAAGTGTAACGTTCTCCTTTCTTGTTGGCAAAAAGATCTAGGCATACTGGCATCTTACCAATTTGCACCTTGACAAGTGCTTTGAGTTTGCTGCAAATCTGTTAGTTATCGAAATGTTCCAAAGGGAATGGATTGAAGGATTAGTTTACAAAGACAGTCAGGAACTAGAAAATTAGAAAATCACTAGAAAATCAAAGAAAATCAGTGACTAGAAAAATTACACATCGCAGAAAGAATCCAAGAAGCTGACGCTTTTAGATTTTTTTCACTTAGTCCTTCATCGTCGAGAGTTTTAACTGACTGATCCATGTGCACATACATTAATTTATATTAAGTTCATTTCATTTTTGTTAAAAAAAAGTTAGTTGACAATCGATTGCAGTTTGATTGATTGAACAATTATTGATTACTTGATTTTTAAATTAGATTTCGATGAATGTGGAGGAAATAATAACCACTGCCACAAGAATGCTGTCTGCACAAACACCGTTGGCTCCTACAAGTGCCATTGCTCAGTAGGATATGCTGGTGATGGCTTGGCATGCACAGGTATTATTATATGCTCTGGAGCACCAAATCTATTTTCCCTTGAAAAACTACCGGTAGTTTTATTAACAATACTTTTGGCAAAGAAAAACGCTGAGAAACTAGAACAACAGGATCTCCAGCACAAAAATCTTGTTACAGAACAAGCATGGCTTACCCAATGTCGCCGTAGTAGACGTGTGTAATAACAAACAACAAAATAAAATTGTTGGGCAACAAGAACTTTACAAAAAAAGAACATCAAGAGCTCGATAAAACGTTTAGTCCAAAAAGGGCTCTAATGGAAAGTAAATTAGAAAGGCAGGGGCTCCAAGAACTTGTGTCGAAGACTTGATCCTCTCTCTATTAGTAACATCTGGGAAGCAGCCCCGAGATTCTTGATCTAGACCCAAAACGGACGCAACGAATTATCGGCAATAATGGCGCCTACTCAAATCCTGGTACATGTGCACAGCTGGGAGCACAGAAATCGGCGCTGGCTAGTAGACGGACTAAATCAGAGTCTTTTGGTCTGTGGCGCAGGCTGGGGCTTTAAACGAAATCAAACAAAAATCAGGCATTATTGCGGACGGAGAAAATTCTTGGCGAGCAGTCGTAAGCCTTTCGTGATAGTGCCTCGATAGCTGCGATACAGACAGTATTGTCCAGCAGCGTTAACATGAACACCATCAGGTCAATATGGGTCATAGTTTGATGTTCACTCAAGACGGAAAAATTGATTATTCGACTGTGGGACCCCTGATGCAGTGTAAAAGAACATAAACATTCCTCAACAGGTAAAACATCTCGGAAGCGCGCGGTCAAAATTGTTCTTATGGCCGAAAGCTAACCAACGCGCAAAAGAATGGCCCATAACTAGAACTCAAGGATTACAACGACGGCATCGGAATTATCATAGCAACTAAATTACGCCATTACCTATTTTACTTGCAGTCATATTGTCGGCACTAAAACTGTTCTTCAAAAATTCTTCACTAGAACTTAATTCTTCCTCAAATAGCTGCTTCGATGTTCGTGAATTTTAAACGAGATCTTTGAGAGCGTTATCGAGATATTTTGGGTTGATGATTTTATAATTACAAAGGGGTTAAAAACTGTACATCTTGACGTTGCGCCGTTATCTTAAGAACGCGAAGTGCTTTTGAAATGCAACTACATCTCATAGCAGTTTCAATCTTTTTAAAAACATGTGTGAAAGACTATGAAGATAACTTTAGCCGATTGCTATGCCGAAGAAGGATTTAAAATAACGGTTAATCAAGAGAGTCTCAAATTTGAAGAAAAATCTATTGACCTGTTTCAAAATTATTTGCTTATTTGTTAGAGAAGACCAAAATGTTCCCAAACCGCTAACAAGGGCGCCTAATCAAATACCTCTCTCTAGCAATCGGCTAGAGCTATCTCTATTATCTTTCACACACATTTTTTAAAGAGATTGAAACTAGTATGAGTTGGAATTGCATTTCACAAACGGCCGAATATCAAGATTGTCGTCATGGGGATATCGATTTTACTAAAACTGCATTATGACAAACATCTATTCATAGTCAATCACTGGTGAAAGTTTTGTAGCGATCGGACAAGGATAAAATCAATTTTAAGCCGATTAAAAGATATTGGTATGGTCTCCTGAAAACTGTATCCAAACGCCTCAAAATCCGTTGCTGAACGGACAAGAATGACTCAAACATGAACTTGCTGATGGATGCAAAAGCGTGGAGGGGTTAAAACCAAATTTACTTATCTGCTCCTCACTCACAGGCCCACTAGGACTATACTTATTTGCAGGCAAATATTTCTTATATGCCAGAAGCCTTTGAAAATTGATTTAGGATACTCTACATTTCTTGAAATGGTGGTAAGAAGCTTTTTTCTTTGCTTTAGAAATCGATGAGTGTTCCTCAGGTCACCAGTGTGACAGCAGTGCAACATGTTACAATACAGATGGATCCTACACGTGCATCTGTAACAACGGCTACACGGGAGATGGACGAACCTGTCGAGGTACAAGCCAGAAGCAGAAGTAAAATAATTGGCTTCTAGCAAGCCTTAAAAAGGCATTTACGATACAAGTGATGTCGTTTAATTACTTTTATGCAAAAAATAATTAAAAGCCGTCTCTTCTTAGTGGTCCATTACTATTATTTTCGTGTCTCAGAAAGTGCACTTCTATGATATTCATAAACAAAAAAAAATGTCGAGCTTAATAATAAATCCTTATTATTTTTCAGATGTCGATGAATGCTCTCTCAACACCCATGATTGTGACGCGCATGCAATCTGCACCAATACGGAAGGGTCATTTACTTGCAAGTGCGACCTGCATCACATTGGCGATGGAAAAACATGCACTCCTCATCGTAAGCTGAGCTTTTTTCATGTATTTATTTATAAACAGCCTTTTTACATGGAAGGTGACAAGTTTGATAACCGTTCATTTCTAGTATGTGGAAGGAGTATAAGGAAACAGTATACATACGGCATTTCATCAACCGATTTGGCTCAAAATAACAACTTCTGCCTATTCGTACTGTCGATCATCTTGATTTTGCTGTTGTCCAAGAATATCCAACTCTCGTTTAAATGTTTTTAGTGGGTTTGAAATATAGTATATTTCAAATCCACTAAAAGCAAGGAAGCATGATCGGTTTTGTCGTTTACCTGCTTGGTGATCATTCAATGATATTGAGAAAGTGCTCCCCGGGATTAAGGGGTTGCATTTAAACGCGGGTTACCTCAAATACCTGGGGTCCCCCACCTCTATGTAAACAGGCCCTAAGGCACGCGCGGCTTAACCCGACTGCAGGCTCAACTGTTCAGTGATCAGATTCGCATCTTTCCCAGATTTATTGGCATACGACATCTTTTAAAATTAAGACGAATTTCTGACTTACCTTTTCAGGTGGCCTTAGTGACTCCGTTATTTTAGCAAATGATGTCAGCAAGATCACACAACTAAATAACTGGCTTCTTCCCCACTTGCAAAGTTCGGACAGAAGTTACTGGAAATTGTGTTACAGAGCTTCCACTCATGGTTGGAGATCACAAACCTTTCACAGCTACTGCGACAACAAAGGTCCCACTGTAACAATTGTTAGGGTTGGGATCTATATTTTTGGAGGCTACAACGACAATTCATGGCAATGTAAGTCCTTGAAATAGCTAAGGTATCTACCACTAAGGCTTCAACTAGTTGAATTGAATTAAAGCCGAGAGATCGTTTACCCCAAATGTGAAAAAAGAAGAGATGGGGCCTTAACAGTTTTCGGTAGTAGTTTTAAAACAACTCTGGTCTTAAATAGATTTTTGATATATAGACTTTGCTAGGGCTAAAAGCGAAGCTCTCTTTAATATTTATAGTTTCCTCAAAAATGTAAAATCGACTAATACTAAAGACAAGGTGAAGACAACGAGAACGGTAAAAAACAACAACAATAGACCCAAATAGCAAAAAAGCAACTTTGCACTTGCAGCACACTTTTTTGTACATTTCCTTGCCGTTGTTTTGCACCACTAAAACGTGAAACTTCTTTTAAATTCCTGTTTACACGTTTTATGCAGAAAATGTTTGTGTTCCTGTTCGCTCTGTTTTTTCACTGCCGCTCACTTTCACTTTGGTAGCCGCTAGCATTTCTCATTTTCTTCTTTCAACGAAATTGGTCTCCGTTGTTATGTATTTCTACCCTGGTCTCAGAGGTTTTTCTTGATTTTTCTTCGCGAAAGAGATCAAGAGCAAGCCGCGAAGCGGCGACAACGAGTCGCTTTCGCGACGAGGAGAGTGAGAAAAACCTCTGGTTACCTTGGCTTCGAATCTCACTTTCATGCTGACGACAGCTGTCAAACGCGTCAAATTGCTAATAAAAAGAGTGACCAATGGCAATTTAGCAAACACGTGCTTATCAGCCGCTATTTTTTTAAGTAGGGGTAGACCCGGGTAAATTATGTTATGAACAAATCATCCCCACTTGGGTGGTAAAGAGTGATCTGTTAATCGGGGTCAAGCTAAAACATATGTTAACGATGGGCGACAAGAGTCCAGGAATAAGAACACCGCTTTATAAAGAAACCAACATTGTTCCAAACGACTGCTGCAGGATTTGCAGAATTTATGTAAAAATAAGTGGCCGATCTAAAATCAACGTTTTTTGGGTATAATAACAAGGATTCTTCACAAACATTGTCATCTGTTCTGTCGGCTGTGTACATGACTCAACGGGATTTTTTGTCAGAAGTGCCAGCGGGAAGTTGTAAAGTGAAGAGTCTATCAATCGCGCTAATTATTATTTACTTCTGCGGGGCGCGCCGTTCGCGTCGATTCGAGGGCATTCCCCCCAAAATAGTAATTTTAATATGTATTTTGCAATCTGGCTCGTATTTTGGTTTGGCGGCTCTATTTCCTTTTTTTGTGGAACAACGGCGCTAGGAAGAGTCACGCAGCACAACAAACCCTTAAGGTTCGGAATGTACTTTCAGAGGTTTTTGTTGACCCAATGCTAAAAATAACGTTGGTTAGGTCTTTAACGATAAATATTGGGCGTCGCAGGAAAATGCAAGCTGCACCGAAAATGATTACGTACTTGTACAAAGATGTATGTTTTTTTGCTACAAGGAAACGTTTATTCCGTATTCGGAGATTTATATTTTGCTGCCCTAAACAAGTTAGTTTAGACTGAGACGCCACGGTTTCGCAGTTCGCGGATATGCGAGTCCACAAGAAACTTGAGAGGACAGACAACCAAAATTATTGCATGGCGAGGTTTATGAGTAGCCTCTTAAGGAAAGGTATTTGCAAACATCAGGTAACGACTGAAATATTATATTCACCATTTTATCAACCGGACATGGAAAGTACACATCCTTTCGACTCAACGCGGCGAACAAAGCTTTCTTTTGTTGCTCAGTGAGACTCAGGAAAGCGCTCATCAAGTACCGAGGTCAAAATTTCTGCGAATATTCTTTCAGGAACAACATCCATGTCAAAATCTCGAAATATGGCGTGACTTTACGTGCCTTGGTCCCGTGAAAATGTTATTGCGAGGGCAGCATACCAACAATTTTCTTCCCTGGTAGAGAGAGGCACAATGAGGTGTGAAAATCCTCAGCGTCCCCTCGGTAGTTACAATTAAACGAGCCAATCAAATTGGTTTGCGTGTTTGAAAAAAATATCAACCAATCAACGCCCGAGGGTCAGATCCTGACCCTGTCGTCTGCATGAAAGTGAGATTCGAGGCCAAGGTAACCAGAGGTTTTTCTCTCTCTCCTCGTCGCTTTCGCGACTCCTTGTCGCCTTTTCGCGGCTTGCTCTTGATCTCTTTCGCGAAGAAAAATCAAGAAAAACCTCTGGGACCAGGGTAATGTATTTCTCGCTCTAGCTCTTTTCCTGCTATCTAAGTTTAATGTAGACATTAAAATTTAGCTTGAAGAAATACTCGGGTTTTTTTGTTGATTTTCGTTTTCTCTCTAAAAGTCCGGGCGGCCATGTCATTTACCGCCGAAACGAGCGAGGTGCTTGAAATGCAAAATTTCACCTCAACTTTAAGATACTCCTCCCCCTCTCGCAAGAAAATCTTACCTCGGGTATTTTATGTCGCACTTTGTAATAATTGTCACACTTTGTGTACCTGTCCCACTTTGTAACACCTTTCTCACTATGTAATAACACTTGTTGCACTGTGTTAACTTACGACGGATGCTCGGAGGACAAGTAAACCCAATAATAATTATCATAAGCGACAAAAACAACAACAACAACAATAATAACAATAATAATAATAACAATATTAACGCTCCACTGAACTGCTTTTAGCACCAGTTTCTCAAGTAGGGGCAGAGGAAAGTGACCACATCAACTGCGGCCTTCCGGCTTCAAGATCTTTGTAGGGAAGTACACCGGTAACCCTTTCTATGCGGACGACCTCGAGACCATGAGATAGTGTCCATAACAGCAAGAGTCCGTAATAATGGGAGTTTGTATTGGAATTTATCCGCTATCCGTATTATCGGGTTGTCCATAAAAGTAAGGTGTCCTTCAGGCGAAAGATGATTTTGTATTAATCAAATTTTTTTGAAAGTTTTACTAGTAGCACGGGCAACAAAGAAATCCGGTTTCATTACCTGCGAGGATATGAACAGAGATATAGCAAAATGTTAGTGTTTACTGCCATGAATAAACGCTAAACTTATATTTCATAAAACCTAAAAACACAAACTCCGAGGCAACACGATAAATCATTGTCATAATAAGACAAACATTATCATCATCATCATCATCATCATCATCATCATCATCATCATCATCATCATCATCATCATCATCATCGTTATCGGTATTATTACTATGTGAATGGTTTTCGCTATGAGAGAAAAAATATGGAATCGGATTTGGCCAAGAAATTCAACAATATGACTTCATAATGACATCAATTATTTCTTTGTTTTAATCGAGTTATGCCTAGATGTTGGAAATAAAGAGCACAATAATACTGTGTTATTGTGGTGGCTGTATCATGAGCGGCTTCGCTATAAATAATAATAATCATCATCATAAAACATTCTCAATAATAATAACAATAATCTATTATTATTATTATTAGTAGTAGTAGTAGTAGTAGTATTAGTATTACTATCACTAATTATTTTACTTTTATTATCATTTTTTTTATCGATGCTGATACTTCTTATTGTTGGGTTTACTTATCCTCCTACCATGCGTTTCAAGGTTATTACAAAATGCGGCAAGTGTTATTATAAAGTGCGACAATTTTATTACAAAGTGCGACAGAACAGGCAAACATTGTTGTAACGTAAATTTCATTTTAAACATTTGCCGTCAGTATTATTTGTCTTAAGGCGGACTTTGAAAAACGTTTCTGACAGCCAATCAGCCTGACCAGTAGTTTTGAGTAGCACAATCTGACACATTTTTCATGCATTCCCGGCGATGACAACTGCCTGAGTTTCAGCAACTGGCTAGCTTGTCCTTTTGTACAACGGCTTGGCCGTGCGTCTTCTTGTTTGATCAAGGATCAGGGGTATCCAAAAAGATAAATGTTTGTTGCGCCATCCCTTTTAAATTTACTAATGGAAAAGCTCTGGGGACGAAGTTAGTTGCAACTTATGATGCTCCAATTCATGATCGTGAGGATTTGAGCCTGATTTATTATTTATTTTACGCATTATATACCACTTTCCTGCTCTCCGTGATTTACTAACCCACTATCGTTTCCTTAAAAAAATGGGCTTTGATTTGTACCCTATAGACTTCGAGTGAGTGCGAAGCTGAAGATACAACCTTATTATGTGAATTATGTTTGAAAAAATGCTAGTTATTAGCATAAGAAAACAAGATTTAGATAAGAAAGCAGAAATCTTATGGTTGTACCAACACAAGGTCCACTCCAGCCTCGTTTCCATCCATAGCTGTAAAATGGTCTATTGAACTCGACTGAGTTACAATGGATCTCTAATTGTTTGTGTTTTGTTTTTTGTCTCTTCAGCGTCTGCTGGTAATCAATATTCGACAAATACCTTCTTATACTCACTGAAAAACTACTACGGGTATGGATACTTCAAACAGGACATAACCAACGGCTATAATAGCTACGCCACTTACAGCCATTATAATTTTGGTCCAACCTTTGGTTATGGCTATGATATGTATCTTGCGGACAATGCGGGAAGAAATACCAATTCTTACTTTAGTTGTCACTCGTACAGCAGTCCCTATTGTGACAATTATCTCTGGGTTGGATCACGATACGGGAATCATTTCCGCCCAGATGAGTTGGAGGTTTATTATGAAGTGCTTGCTTGAAACCGGGCGGCAACATAAAACAAAGGAAGCATATAAAACAAACAAACAAACAGCAACAACAACAATCACAACAAAAACATCAACAGACCAACAAAAATAAGTCACAGCAAAAAATAAATAAATAAATAAATAATCAGCTCTCTGCCTTTTACTACACCTTTGCTAAGAAAGAAAGCTATCATCTATTTCATGATATTTTCAAAGTAACTCCACTCATGACAAAAAAGGTGATTAGCAACTAACGTGTACAAATTATTATATTTGGAGCTTTCGCATTATCAATAGCAGAAGTTTTAACAACAAAATGAGATGATAAAGCACCAACAGCGGTTAACCATAGCACGACTGGTTTTGTCGTTATGATGGACAAGAAGGATTTTTTTGTTGGTAGCATTGTTCCATGTTAGGAATTTGCTATAAGGGAGTGTTTTCGGTTGTTAGAACTTATCCCTGTAGGTATTCTTAGGAATCTCGAAGGCCACCTTGTATAGCAGTAGCGAGTAGAGCCCCTTTATTGTTCTGCCGTTCCTATATTTTATGACTCTCCTTAGGGACCAATTTAACTGCACCGGGGTTTAACAAATAACGGCAAGTTAAGTGGAGTTTTTAGTAATTTAGTAGCTCGACAGAAAATTCAAGTCTGAGATATTCATGTGGGTATACCCGCATGAATTTGTCAAGCTATAAATTAACGCTTGTAGATAGCTATAAAGAGTTTGCCTTCCTGTAAAATATCCTTGTTTTCTCTTACTGAGCACAGATCAGTATTTTTCTCAGCATGACGCTCTCGACTAGCTCTCACTTTAATAATATAGATCCTTTTGTTTGCAAGCTTGGCCACTTTATCCTTCTATGAGATTGAAGCTATTCAGTAATACTGTTTTATGCTATTATTGTTTTTTGTTTTTACCTTTTTAAAGCAGCCAATGTTGTTATGGGCAATGTCATTTATTCTTCATTTAAAAGCCAAGAAATAGAACTGAATTGTCTTAGCAGAGTAAAGAGCCTCTATGAGCATAGATGAGTATGGTGTTCAATCCCCGCCGAAACTCAACTTGAGTAGCTAACATTAAGTTATAACCCCCAACTTTCAACTTTACGTTTCAACATTCAAAGTTGATAATTCAACTAACTACCAACATTTAACATGATCACTCGTTCTTGAAAATTAAGCTCGCAGCATTCTACTTCTATACCCAACATGCATGTAAGCTGACTGCAACCAACATTCAACTTGAGAAACCAAAAACCAACAACTTGCAATTCAGTTCATTATTCAGTACTCGGCGTTATATATAAGTCTGATCATCTTTTTTGATAGTCCGATGTTAAAAAGATATTAAACTCGTATCAGACGCAATGGGTAGTGAATAATTGCCGTCACGGATTAAACCTCATCGTTGCAAAATCTTGACCTCTTTGCACGGACAGCGTTGTCCGCCAAAATGTATCTTATGTCAAAGGCTGACGTAACAGGCCAACCACAGGGGTTTGTTGTTTCCAGTCTCCGGTCTCCCTATTCCCTAGATAGCGGCCCTAGATAGCGGCCCTAGATAGCGGCATCTGTTGCCAGCCACTGTGGAAAAGATATTTAGATGAACGTTTTCATTAAGTACTCCTAAATCAATATGAGCAACAAGGAGCTCAACAACGATAAAGACTGTTGATAGTGTTATTAAAAAAGCTAATTCAAAAGTTATAATCAAGGGAGGAACTACGAGCTCCAGTCCAACAGGCAGAACAGGTCCAAAGCCTCACATTATCCTTAGAAAACAAGCTGAAGTTTTAAAATCATTGCTTTAAGAGCAATCAAGACTGAGACACATCACAATTCTCCATAGTTGATGTAGCTTCAGTTTAATCTGCAATCCATTCTTCGAGATCTGATCACTATTCGTGACAATTTTTCATCCTGCTAAAAACGCTAACGTGCTGGGCCCAGCGTGACAGAACATTGCAGAAAACCTTCACATTTACGGACAAAAATGAAATCGTTTATAATTTTTCAGATCCAGGAGGCACTTTGGAGAAAAGTAAACAACCTAAAACCATCATTTAGCCGCATAAAGAGCTTTACATTTCAAAGGGAGAACGCTCTTGCATCAGAGGGCAAATAATGCCGACCAGAAACAATAATAAACCGCAGAAAATCAACATGCGTGCCACGACCTCTCAGTATGAAATACAAGTGGCAAAAATCACATTTTCTGAGTCAAAACCTTTTTACTTCAGAGCATAATCTACCCGCCAGAGAAAACATTCATTGGAACAAGCAGTATTTTGGCACGAGGTAAAAGTCGTGTGTTGCCCACCGACCCCCTTTTTACACTAGGGGAGACGGGGTACTGGAAACAACTCCTGTGGTTGGCCTGTTACGTCAGCGTTTGACATAAGATACATCTTGGCGGACATTTTACGCTGTCCGTACAAAGAAGTTAAGATTTCGCTACGATGATGTTGACAATTATGATGATGATGACAATTATTCTCGCCGTGACATACGACCCATCGCGTCTGATACGAGTTCAATATCTTTTTAACATCAGATTATGAAAAGATATGGCCAGATTTATATACTGACACCGAGCACTGAATACTGAATTTTTTTTCTTTTTTTTTTTTTACTTTTCAAACTTTTATTAAATACTCCACAGCGTTAAAATACTAACGTTACATGACATTGCATGATATTGCGTTACAGTAAATTACAAATACATTACATCACATTACACGATAAACTTTAACGGTAAAGTAACTATACAAAAAATGAATACTTACAGACGACACTAGGGTACAGAGTCCAAAGGCAGAGCCCACTTCTTATTAAATTTGTCCATTTTTTTAGTTTTAACACATACCGTGAACTGCCGCTTATAAGCGCATCCGCTTATAAGCCCCCCTCGGTTATAGGCCCACCTACATGCAAACAAAACTGAAAAAAATACATCCAATTATAAGCCCATCCGGATATAAGCCCCCCTCCAGTTTTTGTTTTTGATTTTGTTTTGAAATTTAACTGAATTCGATTTATTGCTGCCTTTTTAAGGCTTCAATTTTAAGAGTAGGAAATTTAAATCATACGTCGACCAACAGTGCTTTTGCTCATTTTGAAACGTTTTTTTTTTCGTCCGCTTATAAGCCCATCCGGATATAAGCTCCCACGGTATGTACTCTTCTGTTTCATACTTAATTTTAACCTTGGATGGAAAGGCAGTTATGACTGGAAGAGTCTGATTTCTTCTACAACCCCATAAGGATAGTTTACAGAGTTTAGCGATCAGTATCAAATAATTCAGTAAAGGGCAATTTGTATATAATATTCCTGTAATAACGTCTTGTAAGGTCAGACAGACGAATTCTCTTGTCAATGTGTAATAGTAATATTGAAATTCCTTCCGAAACTGCTTGGTGTGTCTGCTGCATTCGAAAAAGATGTGGTAAAGGGATTCCGAATCTGTTTTGCATAGTGAACATTTATCATCTTGAGTATAACCTATTTTGCATAACTTCTTATTGGTAAATAAAATTTAATTAAGGACTTTGTACTGAAAAGCTTTTAGATAAGATTCAAAGGCTACCTCATATGTGGAAGAAGGAATACTTTTTTCAGCTGGTCTTGCGTTAGATAGCCTGCGAGCAAGTTCTCCTATTTGGGCAAGAGAAGAGAGCCTCGCGAGAACGCGCGAGCGAGGGGCCGCCCAAATAGGAGAGCTTGCTCGCAGGCTATGCGTTAGATTGAAATCTTGACGCAAGTGTTTGGAGTTTTTTGGACACTGAGCAATTATTCTTTTAATTAGCATGTAGTAATCTTTAGATTTCTTTTCTAATATATCAAATTCTTTGTTATCGATTGTCAATATTAAGCTTATTTCTGAGCAAAGACAATTGCTATGATGTTTCGGAACAGAGTGACGAAGCCCTGCCCAAATTAGGTAGTTCATCTTGCTAATTTTATTCGAAACAATAGTAAAAGAATTTGTGGTGTCTAATTCAAACAAAAGACGAAAATGACATCTTGTTCAAAAAAAAAATTGTTTATAGAACACAGGCTTATTATCAACACGTATCTCTTTGTTATTCCACCAAATATATTGACATTCCCGTCTACTATCGAAAACACTACGAAACTCAGACCACCATTGAAGTAACTCCGAATAGAATTTAGAGGAATTATGTATCTCTCTAATGTCATAATTACAATGAAATAAAAAGAGGCCCCCAAAATGAATACTGAAATTGCAAAGTTGGTTTTTGGTTTTTCAAGTTGAATGTTGGTTACTCAGCTTACATGTTGTGTGTACAATTAGAGTGCTGCGAGCTCAATTTTCAAGAACGAGTGATCATGTTACACTGTAATAGTGCGGCTCATAAACACAACGTATTTCCTATGCATTTTTTAAAAAAAATTGAACTTGAGCCTGCGATCGTTTGAAAACTAGTAACTTGCCAGCGGATAACTTCAAAGAGTACTTGACCTCGATGGGTCAAACGTGAGCCCGCGATACGATCAGGTGATACTGGTCAGTGGATACCCTGTTTTGACAGCTGTCAATTGATCACAACATGGACGTGCAATATCAGGTTACACCTGGACTCCCAAACTAGCTAGAAAGTGTGAGATTAAACATTGGTTGGCCTGTGGTGCAGACCGACGCTCGGGCGGTCGGTCGGTGTACGGTCATGTGATTACCTACTCCTCTCAATAATATTTGGAGACACGTAATAGGCCATTTGCTCGATGGCGTTATTTTACTTCTACGACCAGAATCCTTTTCGTTTCTCCCTTCATATTTAAATTTGGTTATCCCAGTGAGGTTTGAATAACAAAAGCCCTCATTTGCACAAGAAAGCAAAACCCTGAAGGATTCTGGTCGTAACGGTAAAATGATGTCATAGTGCAAATGGCCTACTGGAAGATTTTTTCAATGCACCATGGACCTTAGGTTTTCAATGATTTGTAATCCAATAAAGCCTTGTTTTGAAGTCTACGGTTGTAAAGCGTGGTTTTCTTCTCTTTCTTCGGTGGAGATTTTCTATTACTGGGTCTAATCGGTGGGCAGATATACTTGCACACTCGTTAGAGCTCTCTTATTCAGCTTT